TATATTAGGTATATTCTGGCAAACTGGCACATAAGTCACGTATATATTTAATCCATACCTAATGATAATATATAATAATTTATGTCTTTAAATTTACAGAAGTTGTATAAAAATATATAAAAAAAACTAAACAAATGAAACATTAAAGAGAAGATATTATGATTCCTATATCGTCATTCGATATTATAACAAAATCTTTTAAAGTACGCAATGATAAACCTGTGATCGATGATTATACATTTCGATGTCACTATAAACTAACCACCAATATTCTATTAACGTTCTGTWTATTGGTTACATCAATCAATTTAATAGGTAAGTACTTATTTTAAAATTATTAAATTGAATATTGAAATTTTTTTATGATTTTATTACCAAAATAATTGTTCAATAATATAGAACGAATAAATATTATATAGGTAACTTTCATTATTCATAATGTATTATGTATTTATATTTCTAAAGGGAATCCGATAGAATGCATAACGAATTCGTCAAAAAAAACAGAAATGCATAAAACTATAAATAGTTATTGCTGGATATCAAATTTATACACATATAATATGAAACCAAAATTCGGTATATCTAATATAGAAAATAACGAACAAAATATTAGAACCCATTCATATTATAAATGGGTACCATTTATGTTGTTCTTCCAAGCTATGACATTTTATGTGCCCCATTGGATATGGAAAATATGGGAAGGAGGAAAAATACGTATGATCACAAATGGCATGCGTGGATTTTGTGAGGGTCCTATCAAGATAAGACGTTTAAAACAAGATAGATTGGTATGAAAACTATAATCATTAATATATTTAAATCTAAAGTACAACGTATCAACATTAGAATTCAGTGGCTCCAGATATTAAATTATTTTGTTGCTCTACATGTGTGTGTGTTTTTTTTATGATTGTCATCRCCTTTTAGGACAGTAAAAATACTTCGATTTTCGACAAAAATTCTCAATATTTTTTAAAAGCGTCAAAGAAGAACTGAGATTTTTACGCAAAATAAGTTTTTGAAAAAATCGATTTTCTTTTTTCGAGTAACTCTAAATTTTTAATAAATTTTTCGTTGAATGAAATAATTTCTATTCACTTTAAAATTTTGGAAATATTGCAATCATTTTTTAATCTTCTGACAAAATTATAAAAATCTCGAAAATGTTGAAATTATTTTGTACTTAGTTCAATCTTGTTAAATTTGTATACCTAAGAACTGACAATTTATGACAAGGATTCTCAATATTCTCATAAATAATTCCTACTGTAACCAAAAATCTAAAAATTTCTACTACACTTAGTAGCAATTTTATAAAAATAGATTAGCTTAAATAACTTCCCGTACCATGAATTCCGCTTCAAAAATTAATTAGGTTAGGGGTACGCTATAGTGTATTCAAAAAATTAGTTGAGACGGTCTCTCCACATCACCCACCAAGTCAAGCACTGTTTACGTATACATAAATATACCATATACCTATATTAATTATTTTAATTCAATCATAATTTTCATCATAAAGGATCTTAAACGACTTAAACAGTGTATATACAGATTATATTAAAAAATAATATTAATTGCATTACCTAATGTATTTTAATATACTCATTATATTAATTATGTAATACGAATATAACTTCTTTAGGTACGGAACTACGGCCCATGACAAAGTGATAATAATTAAATTCCAAATTAAATTAATAGTTAATATTGTAAAATACATTTTCAAAATGTAGCTTTACAACCTATGCCTATTATTGTCTAATCTTTATTTTTATTTTATTGTTTAGAAAACAGTGATTTTTTAATTACAGGTACAATATTTCGTTGAGAGCTTTCATACTCACAGTACTTACGCATTTKGTTATATTTTGTGTGAAATAATGAATATATTCAACATTGGTTTCAATATTTACATTACTCATAAATTTCTTGGTGGATCATTTTTAACTTACGGAATTGAAGTGTTAAGATATTATAAACATCCTAGATACTTTAACCCAATGGAAGATATCTTTCCTCGACTTACAAAATGTAATTTCTTCAAGTATGGATCATCTGGTACTATTCAAAACATAGATGCTATGTGCATTCTCTCTCAAAATGTTTTAAACGAAAAAATATACTTATTAYTATGGATTTGGTTTTTAATACTTGCTATTATATCCGTATTTGCATTGACTTATAGAATCACTATTATTATTCAAATAGTTTTGGAAACACCATTATTGATAAACATGTCCAAATTTACAAATAAGAAACAAATAATTTCAATGTTAGTTCGTAAATTTCAAGTACGTATAATATTTTACTATATTACTATATTAGTCTGTTTTTTTAAACTTTAGATATAACCGTTTATATCGTTTATTTTGTATTGTAGCAAAAATGTTTTCAGTTTTAAGATCCATATTATTTGGCATACCATACGAAATAACTAACACTAACGATTTCACATTTTCAATGTTTGATAAAATAATAATTGATATTTGTGCAATAATTACCTATTAATTAAAAATGGAGGTTGTGGATTCAACAACAAGGGCCATTTGCCTTATCTTATATTTTTATATTTTACATTGTATCATWCCTACCAATTTTTATGCAAAGCCGAGTTTCGACAAAACCAATTTTATTATTTTGTTATATAATTCAAAAACGAATAAACTTTATATATATATAATATATTATATACCTGCAATTTACAAGTCATTTGCAAGAATTTGCACAACTAAACTGAAAATCAATACGAGTAGGTACGATTTTATATTTTCCGGAAAATGAGTAGTTGGGCCAACGATCGAAAAGAATATTTATTTTTGGCAGTTAAATAGTGTCCTGCAATTTGAATGACGATCGCACAAATATTTGTTAATTACAATATTACATTCTAAATACTGACATAAAAATGTTTCAAAATTCTTAAAAATTTCTTTTGAGCAGCTGGTGCAACGTTTTTCCGATAAATCTAATATCGAAAGAGTTCTAAATTTAGTTTTGCGAATCGCTCGCTAAATCTTGAAATTAAAAATATTGATGCTTGTGTAACTTTTACATACTTAGGTTTTAGGTATCTGTATATTAGAATATTTTAAATTTTAAGCACAATGAAATTTTCAAAACATTTTTAATTTCAATTTATTGCACATTTACGCCATAAACCTATTCACACCGTTCTGTGGTAAGTCGGTGTTATTCAACAGTGAATAACAATAATGAATATACATGATAATATGATATATGTATTCATATGTAAAAGTATATTATTTAAATATTAATAATAAAATAAATGTTAAAATGTTAAAATCATTAAAAATTATATTAAATCAACTAATCGTATGATACTAATAGTAAAATAAATTATTTATTGATACCTATTGGTATAAGAAATCGTATTATAATAATTTATAAAATACATTATAGTAATAATATACGCTGATTCTGTTTCTCTCAAAATCGTTTTCTGTGTATCTACAATGATTTATCATTGAATTCAAATTTAACACATCATAAATTATAGTAACTTATTCAATACATGATATTATTAAAATTTAAAATATAGTTTCAATCTAATAATTATGCATGCACTTTATATTTTTAGGTAGGAGATTATATACTCCTTAATTTGGCTGAGAAGAATGTACATTGTATYCAATTTAAAGAAATGGTAGAAGAAATATGTACTCAAGTTTGAATGTATAAAATTATAACGAAATCCACTTATYTTTTCATCACTTAAATTTTAAATAAATACTTAATCAAAAGTTATAATCGGATAATTTTTTATTTTTTTTATTAAAGGTATAGTTGTTACATTTGTATTTACAAATAAATATTCAAGTATGTATATGAAGAATCAGTTTTCATACCTATAATACCGCTGTATCCACTATAGAATATTAGATTATCTCTTCTATTTTTAAATACTACAGATTCCTCTTTAATTTAAAAGAGAGTAGATGGGTAATCGTCAGTTGTATATGTTAGYTAGGTACATTAGTACAATAGTACCTGTGTGATATTGTAACATTGTATTTGTAATGATGGCCATTCATAATTATTATAATATTGGCATCATCATAATTCCTATAATACATACACTCGGGCACTCAGCTCATGTCTATACTGGCTATTATATACACAATCAAACATAATGTTTGTACGATAATAGACATTGATAAGTGATTTCCTGGGACCTGGATCACCGAAAATTAATTCGCAGACAGTCAGTCAGTGGCGTAGCCAGGGGGAGGGCTGAGGGGGCTGCAGCCCCCTCCCCCCCGAAATGTTAATAAAATTTAAAAATTATTTAATTGGTCTACAATATTCACTCAAAAAGTCTTAAATTGTATTTTACTAATTTTAAATTGTCATCTTTATTTYGTTAGTTTTCTATAKCTTCGGCCGTGCTAATAGGTATTTAATGCACCGCTGTGTAAAAAATTGATTAGCCCCCYGAAAAAAAATCCTGGCTACGCCGCTGCAGTCAGTATTTAACTCGTTTTAATAAAATTAGTTTATAAATATTATGTCATAAAATAATATAAATTTAATTAATAGTGCTATAATATATTGTATGCATGGTCATCAATACATGAATTATATTTCATTATATTTTAATCTAAAAATTAATTTAAAAACAATAAATATACCTACTATTACAATTTTATATACCTTTCAGTAATAATATAAAAGTTTTATGGTAATTTATTGTATCAATTGTATCGACGTAGGTACCAACACAATTAGAGTAATTTCGTTTTTTTTTAACCTGAAAAGTGAATAATATATATAAATATAAAATATGTATAAATTATATAATATATTAAACATTAAACAAATATACTATTTTATGTAGTTATCTTAATATTTGTTAAATGTTCTTTGAGTATGCTAAGTTTTTTTACTTGACTTTGGTTTTGATTTCCCTTTGATTTCTGTTGGGTTTTAATCTCATTAATAAGTATATTAATATTTGACCTATGACAATTATCTACCTGATATAACACCGCGTGAAATCCTTCCAAATGATTGATTACCTTAAACCTTAA